GTGTGTGTGTGTGTGTGTGTGTGTGTGTGTGTGTGTGTGTGTGTGTGTGTGTGTGTGTAAAATGTTTATATTAAAAAATCTTTATATTAAAAAAGTAAGTCATATTTTTACGAGAAAATATCTTGTTTGAAAATCTACATAACTTGTTCAAAATGACTACGCCCTCGGGAAGCAGACAAGAGAAGACCTTTAAATTTTTATGTAGATAACTGCTATCAAAAAAATAAAAATATAGGCCATAAACGAACCATAGAATAATTCATGATGTTGGATGTATTATACAAATAGTTTTGTCAGCAATTTGAGATACTTAAAAATCAATCATAAATAAATAAATCAACACATTTTTTTTGAACTTTGAATTATGCGTGACACAAAAAGATTTATATGACGTATTTGATTTATACGATATTCAAGATTATTAAAAATATTGCAAAAGTTCTAAAAATTATTTTCTCTCTCAATAAATTACGTACACTCTTTTAATAAATACAGTACTCTCAATAAATTACAGGTTATCCACATTAAATAATTTTATCACTGAGAGAAACGTTACGAAAGCAAGAATGATGACGAATAAAATCAGAAAAGAATTCATTTTATCGATCTCTTGGAGCGGTTTCGATAAGCAACAAAATGCTTTGTGTCAATCGAAATACGTACACTATTATTTGCAATCTGAATTAAAATCTAGCTAAATTCTGAGCTGAAATTTCACCCGGTAAAATTGAATGTAAAGAAGTCACATTTAATTTGCAACGGTATGACAAAAAGAAGCCATATTGTAAACATAGCTTATTGTCACCCATTATCGAGGAGATGTTTACTTTCATCGCAACGTGACTTATTATCACTAACCGTGCAAGTAAATATATTTTCGAACGTCGTACACTCGCACTGTTTGCATAGTTGTCTTTTTCAAATAAAACGATTATGGACTTATCGCTCTGATATGATCAAGAAAAATATTAATAATAAAAAACGTTTAATCTAGGTCAATCTGAATCTTAACAAAAAATGATCCAGACGTGCTTATCATCTCGGAAGTGTCGACAAATAGACTTTGCGGAGCTTACCGAGAGATAATCGGGTCTCACCTCTTGAGTTCCTCGGAATACTCGATTTTGTCTCTGATTGAGCTGGAGAGGCTATACGCCGATTTCTTTCTGTTACCATTGATCCTGCCGTTCTCCAGATCAAATTTATACTGCGGAATATTCTCCACGCTGTCGCAATGGCTACCGTGATGCAGGATCGACTTCCGCCTGCCCTGATCTGAATTGTGTTCCGAATCCGCGCTGATGCGCCGGTGATGCTCAAAGGCAAGATTATCAAGCCCGACGACTTGGTCGCTGATCGACACTCGTCTCTTCGCGAGTTCCTCGCTGGGTTTATTCGTTCTACCGCTCATCTCGACGTCCATTTTTCACGACCGATTATCGATAAAAATTCTCTGGCGGGACGTTAGCCGATAGTACGAATCCAGAAGTTCAGTCTTCTCCTCTTTGTACGCTGTATATTTTCTACTTTAATGTTCTTTAATATAAAATGCAGACCGCGCACGCGAATCAAGCGATCACTAGGTCCTCTCACCTACCCGAGAAGATGACAAATCTCGGTAAACGGATTCGCCTCCTCGTATTGGGTCTGTCAAACTGCGGTGCACCTGTCGATGGTGGATTCACTCGCGGTATTGATTGTAATCGAGAAAGGCTGTAGTCGTGCGCGGTCGCTGAACGTACTGCGACTATCACGGATCACGCGTTCGCCGCGACAATCATTAACGGATGAGTCTCGTGACGAGATTTCGCCGCGAGACAGGGACGGGGACGGCAATCAGCGACGCTAATATGTTGCGACGATTGACGTCTTTGACACCTTGGCCCGCTTTTACCAGATCGCTTCTTCTGCCTGAGTATCTTCTCGACTACATCCAAGCGGAGCTTTGCTTTCCTCGTTAACGTTGACGTTAACAAGCGTTAGCGTTAACAAAGCGCCATTCTTAATACGGGACTATTTATCCACAAGATTAAACTTTTCTATTGACGTTATCCAAGAGTCGGCAAACCGACCAGATTCGGGTAGGATCAGTTCACGCGGCCGGTTGTTCACGTCGACGTGGAAATGCGCCGATCTCGGTCGCGCTCGGCGCAATTGGTGCGACCGGTGCATCTCGCATGCGTTTTATGCTTTAGCCTAATTTAGATTTTTAACGGAGTCCCCTTCGACCGGACAAAAAGACGAGTGCAACGAATGTATAGGTCGTCACGAGTCCGGCGCGAGTACGATGGCATGAATAACCAGCGACTAAAAGCGGCAATGCGACAGCAAGCGGTGGTGTTTATGCGGACGGGTAGTGGGGCTCGTAAAAAGTGCTCGAACCGCGGACGAATGAGCACGGACAGTCACGGCGGCCTGTGACGATAATTGTCGCGCAATGCACACAGGATGGGCACAGCTGACTACCTCATTGACGAAGCAGCAACGGTCCGCTGCGCTTCTGTCGCAGCTCGCGTCCATGTCTCACGGCACTGGCCGAATCCGGCATTGATCGACAGCTCGGGGCCTTATCCTCAAAAAATATCACGTACGAGGACACTACTCTCGAAAATGTTTGCGGTGGAAATCTAATTCGAAAGAGCGAGGAAGAGCGACAATTGTAAAAGAGAGTGGCTCAATTGTCAATTTCTAAGAGTGAGATTTCGTTCTTTAGAGTTAGATCCCACTTGAAAGATTTTAGAGAGCTGGGAAATCTATAATATATGTAACTTGTACTGCAGTATTTTTCGTACATTTTCGCGTGCGATAATTTTCGAGAGTAAGATCCCGAATTGAAAACTTCTATTGTCGCGCGCTGTTCCTGAATCCCGCGGAATCGTTGCGATCGAAAAACACGAGGGATAAACCCCCCCGGAAAGTTTCGAGCTCTCGAGGCATTAACGATGGATATTGCTCGAGTGTCATCTAGTTAGCGCACTAATTTTCATTTGCCCGATACTCCGCATCTGTCGACACAACTTTCGCAGTTTTCCCTCTCCGTTTCTCAAGAGGAGAGTTGCTTGGTACGAGCCCCGCATGAAGCACGGAAAAAAAAAGGGTGGGAAATTGCCTTGAATTAACCGCGGGTGTCACTAATAATTTACTACATCGCCGTATATCACACGCTGTAAGCATCACCGTCTATTATGTATCAAAGTGTTACGGAATTGAAATGGAATTTTTGATCCCGGGCTTATCCCTCGTCAGAACACATGACAGCTCGAAACGGTCTTTTGTGACAATTTTAGCAACGGTCGCTTATTTTAGTACCTCCAAAATGCTGGAGAACGATAAAAAACATGGACAACGCATCGACCTGCTATGCCCGAGCATTTACCTAAATCATAATGGAGCACATGAACGATACGTGCAATATGCAGTTGGAAAATTTAACACATTTCACATATCCCAACGACGCATTCAAATTTTTTAACTCGACACAAAATGTATGTGTGTTAGAAAGTAACACAAATATTATATTGTATGTTATAAAAAATTAACGCAAAAAATGTAACACTAACACAATTTGTAAGCAACAATATTTTTTTATCAAAATTAATATTTATAATATGTTAAGTTAACACATTTTATGTGAAAATTATCCAATTATCTTCAAATTTACAAAAAAAAAACCACATTTTATGTTATTTTTTCACTTACTCATAACTTACGTTATTTTAACACTAAAAGATGTTGAATATCAATTTATTATGAAATATTCAAATAACACAATCACATTATGTTAAATTAACACTTGGAAATATTAAAGATTCGATACATAAAATTTGAACAACGACTTGTGTAAATCATTTTTGACACAGAATGCTTTTTACTATGTAACGTTACGCTAGATCATCTATTTCGAAAGCGTCATCGTGACCACATAGCCTCAATCTCGGCCCACACTCAGTCTCAGTGCTCGCGATCTTTGATCTCTTCCGGGATGACCAATTCCCGGTATCATGATAATACTCGAGATTCAAATTAACAATTTTAATTGAGATTTGCATTCTTTATTGATTTTCTGGATTTTCCGCAATCGATGTTTCTCCGAATCGATTTAACTGAGAGAGAGAGAGAGAGAGAGAGAGAGAGAGAGAGAGAGAAGGTGGAAGAGCGCAGATATATAGTAGGATTGCCACAAAACTGAAAATCAAGTAAATATCAAGAAAATTGAAAATGATCAGGGAAATCAGAGAAAGTTAGAGAATTTTGCAAAACTGATTGAACAATTACAATTCTTGGTTTTAAAGAAATTTAACATGCGTACGTCACACTTACGTAATTTTGGACTATCAATTTATTGAATGAAACCGGTATCAGCAACATTAATCGTAATTTACATTGCTACGTTAAATTGCTTTCTCAATAAAATATTTGACGGTCCAAATCGGGATGAAAGTACAACAAAATTTCAAAATATTATTGAAAGCATATCGGAGAAAATCATGAAATTTTGTCTGGAAATCAGAGAAAAGTTACGGAATTTTAGGACGAGAAATTTGTGGCAATTTTGTATACGTACAAAATTGTCACAAATTCCTACAGGAACGAACGCGACACAACCGTTTGATCGTAATCACTCACAAAATGATCTGGTTATCCGTGGATCACCGACTGTATGTTCTGATCGACACGATTACTACACGATTACTCCTTCCTCTGTATCGATCCACTCTTCCTCGTCGATCCACATTATCATCTATTGATCGACCTGCGCATACAGTCTTTCTCTCTCTCTCTCTCTCTCTCTCTCTCTCTCTCTCTCTCTCTCTCTCTCTCTCTATCTATCTATCTATCTATCTCTATCTCTCTCTTTCTTGTCAATATTATTGTCACGCTTCGTTGTCGGTTGTTTGGTTGTACGATTGTACGTAACTCCATTTAGAACTCCATCCATCGGAATTCAATTTATGGACGTCTCCAATTCGGACCGATAAAATGAACTTCCGGACTACGCTGATGTTATACAAAACTTTAGTCTCCGAGAATGTAAAGATTGAAATAACGAAGCCGCAAATATCTCGTATCTCGTGGAACAAAAGATTTTTTAAGTACATTAGATATATTAATATAGTATATCATGAATTAACAATATAATTGTATAAACGGCAAGTATATTTCAATAATTTACTTTGAGATATGTAAACGCTATTATTTCGCTTCACTTTTACTCGTTAAACGCTCTGTAAGTTTATGAAGTTTAATTTTACATTAAAAACTAGCGAATTGAATCAGCGAAAGTCGAGTGAATAGAATTGAACTCTTAAAGCGTAGGAAATTGCAAATTTCTATTTTAATTTATTTCTCTTCTGGTAGATGGGAAAATACAGAAGGAAGGAGGAGCTCGCGATATAGACGGAGGAGGAAATGAAATATGCTGAAGAGATGGTTGGCCGTGGAATACGCATGCAGAAAACAGGAAGAATTTATAGCGGCTCTCCCGTGCTTATATTTATCGACAAAGTTCCGTCGTTAACAAGACATCACAATCAAGTTTAATGAACAAAAAGAGTGAATAGACGGAAGGTCGTAAAATCGTCGTTTAAGAGTGAAAATTCGTCAATACTAAACTTTAAAAAAATAAAAAACATATATATATAATAATCGTAAATATATCAAATGTGAAATTCAGTGAAGGTTTTATATTCTCTTTTATCATTCTTTATAATCATTATAACGTAACACGTAATATAATGTGTTTTATACAAAACATTATTATATATTTTATATTTTTATACATATTACATGTATCTTTTTGCGATTCATGCTCTTGAAAAATGTGCGCGAAAAACGAGATGGAATAATATCCACGTACAATGTGCTGACTAGTTTGTCGAAAGCATATCTTTTTGTGATAAATGGACAAAATAAATTTACCTTCCTCCTAGCTCCGTTGACACGTCATGAATCAAATTTCTACTAATGATGAAATCGTACGCTTCTCGGACACGCTTGCGGAAGTCGAGCATTGTCGTCCCTCGTTAAAGCAGCTGGCGTTCTTATACAGCTCCATGCGTCGTGTGTAGATAATGCTCTCGTCTCGTAATCTGCAATACTATTTAACCGATTAACGTGAATGGGTTTATATTTGATTTTTCGAGTAAATTTCCAGAAGTAAATCTCATAGGAAATTAATATATTATATTAGTCTTATTTAAGCAATTATACGCGTATATATAATAAGAGTGCTAAAAATTATGATTTTCAATTGACAATTGCGCAAACTTCTATCTATGAGATACTTGTGTACATTAAGAATGTGCCATTTTTACTATCTAAGTAACATTTTAAAAAATTGATCTATCAAGTAAAGGTTTTGCGAGTAAATCCCGCAAGTGATGATTACATTACATTTAAGCTACTACACGCGTATAATTAGAGCGCTCAAAGAATTATGGTTTTTAAATGGCAACTGCGTTGTAATGGCAAACTTCTATATAAAATTTATGAGCTATATTTATAAATATTAAGAATGTGCATTTTTATTCCCTGGATAATATTAGAAAAAATTGCTCTTTCATTAAATCAGTCTTTCAATAAATTCTCGTTAGTAAATTCCGTAAGTAACGATTACATTACGTTAGTCTAATTAGCAACTATGCGTACATTAAGAGCGTTCAAAACTTTTACAATTCAAACGGCAAAATATTTGTGAGATAAAACTTTTGAAATAATTGAGGTATGTATTAAGAATGTATCATTTATTTATTAGATAATATTAGAAAAAAGTGTCGACTTGAAATACTTTATAAACACTTCAACAATTCAGCTGTGCACACATGCACTTTTTTTTATCGAGATAATACAGCGCATTTTTTTGGTGTCATTTGTCCACGCTGCGGCTATTTAAAATAAAGAGATATCCAATGCTTCAATTACCCCACACAAGCTACGCAAAATTTGAGAACGGGAAATTAAAAGCGCTCGTGCTTCGCATAGCTTTTTCATTTGGCCGCGCAGAGAAAATCGCGAAAAATCCAGCGATGTGTTTCGTCCGGTGCAAGCGGCGTATCGCGATCCAATGTCGCTTTTACGTCCATCCGTTGGACATTCCGCGGCTGGCGAAGTTACGCGAGAAACGTCTACGTCCCTCAGAACAAGAGGTAGGAGGGATAGAAGTGGAGGTTGCACGAGAGACGAGGTCGAAGATGGGATTGGAATTGCAAATATCCCTCTTCTCCGTCTCTCCGAACTCTCCAGTCTCACCGATCTATCTCCACTTCTCTATCGACCATCCGCCCGCTCTGACCCCAGAACATGTACGAGGTACATATCGCCGAGCATGTTTTAAAGAATCTTTGCTGGACGACAAATCGTCAGATTTTCCAGGATTTAAATTTGTTACGGCTAAACTCCGACGCGAGTGCGCCACTCGAGTTTCTTATCGTTTACCCTCGAAAGGATTTTTCAAGATCCATTTTTATCCGTTGTAAATTCGATAACTTTAATCTCGATTTAATTTACTCTTTTCTAATTCTTAGAACTAGAAGAGAATAAAAAGTGAATTAAATGGAG